CAAAGTACAGGTCGCATTTATGATCCGATCTGGATGAAATTTGGCACAGGTCACTTAATTGGCCTAAGGACGAACCCTATAATTGGAGAAAATCGGTCTACGTTTAGGCATAGCTCCCACATAAGGGTACTCCCAATTTTCGGTATTTTAAGGTTGTTTAGCGCGTTTTTAACTGAATTCGCTGAAATTTGGTACTTTGAGTTCTTATTGGGTAGCAAATCTCTCCACTAAAAATTATAAATATGGGTCCATATTTTCGGATAGCTCCCATATAAGGGTACCTTCAATTTTGCGGTATTTTTGGTGTTTTGATCGCATTCGACCGAATTCACTGAAATTAGGTACTTTGAGTTCTTATTGTGTAACAAATCTCCCTACTAAAGAATATAAATATAGGTTATTTTTTTCGGATAGTCCCCATATAAGGGTACCCCAAATTTTCGGTATTTTGGGGTTCAGATTTAGATATAGCTGCCATATATAGTTTCGCCCGATTTTATGTAAATGGAGCACCATACTGCCAATATTTATCCGATTGAGACAAAATTTTGCACAGCTTACTAAATTAGGTCATTGATGAATGCGAAGTTTTGTTGAAATCGGTTCAGATTTAGATATAGCTCCCATATATAGTTTCGTTCGATTTAAAGTAAATTGTGCATCAAACTCCCAATATTGGTCCGATTGAAGCTACATTTTTAACAGAGTATTGAATTAAGTCCAGACTGATGTATGCGAAATTTATATATCTACAGGATATTGTAGATATTAACATGTCTTGCATGTACCCATAGTAGTGAAGGGTATCATATAGTCGGCCCCGTCCGACTTTTGAACTTTCCTTACAGGTTTACAATGGAAAAATTAGAAATGCGTGCTTCCATGGTAAAAACATTGCGGATGCGGCATAACTGTGCGAGGTGCATCTTTAACATCAAAAATTCCTGAATGGAATCTACGAAACCAAAATTGCACATAATTGGATGTTACAGTATCGGAACCATAAACAACATTCAAAATTTTAGAAAAACTGTAAAGCGTACTGAATTTTCTTTTTGTTCACTTCCAATTTTAATACCTTGTAACTCACAACTGAGTCCACTAAACAAAAAACAGAAAAATATTTTTTTTTACTGCGAAATTTCACCCTTCCAATGAGCATAAATCTGAAATTGTTTGATCGATACTTTACGAGAAATCTTTATGTACAGCCATCTGCCAAAAAAAATAATGGATTTCTTTTAAGTATAACTCACCACACCCGAGTAGATACATTACTATAGTTGGTATCAATTTAAAGGCCAGCAATTTCTGTTGGATATACTATCAATTTCCTTCAGTAGTAACTATATACGCCATAGAATGTAAGTTATGCAATGTCTCATACAAATTCTGGGACCACTTGATCCGCTAAATATTGACCAATCTTTAAGCATTTATTACAAATATAACAAAATGGACAGATATGAGCAGTACAATTGTCCTATCCCTTACAAATGCACTGTTCTGGAAATCACTGTCCACAACAACTTGCAAAAGTATGATTCACACATTCATGTCATAGGCTGATATAGATAGATTTCGTAATATATTTGAATGACCTACAAACTCCTAACCTGTTCGTGTTAAGTTCGCAAATTATTTGCTCTTGAAATTATGATCCCACACAAATTCACTAATTCACAGCATATCACCTGAAAATTCATAGCTGACCTAGCAATGGGTCAAGTGTATGTCAATATCAAAAACAATAAAATGATCAAAACAAGTTCCTAAATCTGAATCCAAGTCCAACAAATCAATTAACAATTATTGAAACCGTTACCATCTAACCATTCATCCCACCAGTCATGTGAATGAGAGTACACACCCAAAATCAGATCTACGTACGTTACGGTAAATATAACAATTGTCAATTTAATTTTCTCAATCGATTACGCTGTGTCACTCGTGTCTATAACACCGTCAAACAAAAGGTTTTGTAACCTTGATGGAGTGGGGGAGTTTTTTTTTTTTTTTTTGTGATAGTGACAGCAAGATCAATACCTTGGCTTTTGTTTGGCACAACAATATCAAACAATACCAACAACAACAACCAAAAGAGTAGAAAATAAAGAAATAGGCGATTAAAAGAAATCACCAGAAAAATGTTTTTTGTGTGTCGAATTTGAAGAGCAGTTATTGTTTGATCGAAGTAAAAACTAATCATTATCAACTAATTTGATCTGCTTCCATTGTATTTTGCTACAGCCTAGGGAATGGCTATACAACAGAGTGAATTGATTTTTCTACTTATTGAATGGTAATTAATAAAAAATAGTTTCAATTATTTGTTTTATTTGTGCTAGGAGAAATACAAATAATACAATATTAAAAAATGGAACAGTTATGTTTGCATTGTTACAGGTGCATCGTTGGATTTATTTCTCTGCGAATTGCAATACTGGCCGCACAGTGGTTGAAATTAATTGATAAATTGATTGAGAAATATTTTTTAGTGAAACGATTACAGACACTTTCGTCCCTCAGAGTAAAAAAAACAAAAACAGTAAAGGAAGGTAATGGAATTCATTGCCCATATTTCTGCGAGTGAAAAAACCAGTAAGGAAAGTAGTAAAGTCGACTGGGCCGACTATATGATACCCTTCACCACTTTGGGTATATTTAACATATGTATCCGAAAAGACGTTGCCTTTTTGAAGGAATTTTGACATGAAATTGAACGAACTTAAATATGTGATTTTTATGACTTTCTGGAACCTATGCTAAATTTCATTTGATTTGGGCAAGTTTCGAGTCGTTTGCCCACAGTGGGACAGATTTGTGTAAATCGATTTAAAGCAAACTTGACACACGCTATTCGGTATGCTGCACTGTTTAAAATCTAATTTCAATACATAAGTCGAAATTATATATGGAAGCTACGATATATCTATATCTGAACTGATTTGAAGCAAACTTGCCATCTTTAATGCACAATTTATTTAAAATCGGACGAAAATATATATAGGAGGTGTACACATTATTCTGGACTTAATTTAGTACGCTATACCAAAATTCGTGCAAATCAAATGATTTTCAGGGACTTTGGTGCCCCATATACCTTAAATCGGACAAAACTATATAGGGAAACTATATCTAAATCTGAACCGATTTTCACGAAACTTGACATACGTCATTCTAGACTCAATTCAGTATCCTATGCCAAAATTTCGTGCAAATCGAGAGATATATAGAAACTTTGGTGCCCCATATACCTTAAATCGGACGAAAATATATATGGGAGCTATATTTAAATCTGATCCGATTTTCTTCAGTTTCAATAGGGATCGTCCTTGAGCCAAATCAGTACCTTGTGCCAAATTTCATCACAGTCGTATAAATCACAATCGAATGGTATAAAAACAGTAAATGAGTGTAATGCTATATATGGCCCATATCTCAGCGAGGGAAGAAACAACACATAAATATATCGATATGTTCGACAGAGCTAAACTTTCTCAAATACCGAATAGTGGGGTTACTGTCAAACAGGGGCCTATATTGATCATTTTTGTTGTGAAATTTGGCACTCAATAAGAATCTAAAATATATAAAATACTAGCGGGCCCGGCAAACGTTGTCTTGCCTTAGCAATATTGTCAAGAAATAATATTCGGTAATTTAGATTAGTTTCAATTTTTGTTTATACTTGCGTAAACAATTTTTCTGAGTAAGAAATATCCATAACAATTTTTGGTATAGATCCATAAACATTTTTGGTATATTTCTTCCAATATACCAATCTCGATCATTACATCGGAAACTAAAGCACACATTTTAATATAATTCTTTGCAGTATAGAATTTCTATTTTCGGTTGGGTTGGGTTTAAACACATCGTAATACCATGACATTCACATAAAGTAACATTTAGTTCTGAGTATGCACTATTTGATGTTTATACAGAGTCTTGTTGCTATAGAAAATAAATTTATTTATAATTGATATTTTACGATTTTTTTTCTTGAGTTGCTTTGTGTTTTCCCTTTTAAAATGTCCGTGGATATAATTTTTGTAATAATTGAATTCATGAAAAAACATTTAAATATAGTCATATAATTTAGACTTCATAAGCCGGAATTGTCATTTAAGATTCGGATTTAATTCTTTCTCAATATGATTATATGACTTCCACATAATGGTAGCCCAATGCTAAGTAGGCTTTTTATCCCTTTCATCATAAGGTAAAGTGTATATTAAATTTGTCATTCCCTTTGCTACACTGGAAGCCCCAGATTGTATATGTATATATTATTGATCAGAATAAAAATTGATGTCAAAATTACGATAGTGATCGCAATATTTAAGATAGAGATTTGATTGCAGGTTTGGTAATGAAAATTGGATATATCGGGGGATGTTGGGCACGGATTTCAACCGAATATTCTGTAATTCGGTATTTAGGGTTTTCGATGTATGGCGAAACTACTAACTAAAAATTATTAATACTAACTAAAAATTATTAATATTTCGGGGTAGCCCCTCATATAACGGTACCCCCAATATTCGGCATTTTATCTGTAATTTGGTATTTTGAGTTTCCATTGTATAGCTAACAAAAAGGGCGATATCGGCCGACTTTTTATGATAGCCCCATATTAGGTACTCCCTATTAGTCCGTATTTTGGGGTGTTTGTTAAATTCAGCTATATTTTAGTATTTAGAATTCTCATATGGTAGCAAATCTTTCTACCAAAATTATGAAATTTGGTGCACCATTTTTCGAAAATCGGACGGAAATAAATATCCTGTGCCAAATTTGTTTACAAGTTTACATGGAGAGATAGAGGGATTTGAATTAATCGACTCAGAAGGAACCATATCAGTATGATGAATATTTTAAAAAACATCAATTATAATATTTAATTAATCGTAAGTTACAAATGTTTTATTATTTTTCTAAAATTAAAACAATTTCAACAATCAACAAAATTAAACGACAATATTTTGTAGACAGATTTAGAATCCCCAGTGAGTACCGAAACCATCGAAACTCATGTGAGAGACCATTTCAGCGGGTGAATAGTGGACAGTCTGGCTGGTACCGTAGCTGCTAACGCCGGGAGCATTGTGAGTGTAGGTGGTGGCCGATGGTCCATGGTTGTATGTGGTGGTAGCGGCTGGAGCAGCATAAGTTACAGTTTTGGCTACAGCGGGAGCAGCATGGGCATAGACGGCAGGAGCGGCATGAGTGTACACAGCTGGAGCAGCATGAGCATATACAACTGGAGCGGCATGAGAGTAAACGGTTTTGGTAACAGCAGCTGGAACGGTATGAGCATATACAGCAGGAGCTTCATGAGAGTAAATTGTCTTTGTTACAGCTGGAGCAGCATACGAAACAGTTTTGGCAACGGTGGGAGTGTAAACATTATTGTTGATACGGGTATCCACTTTGTTGAAACTGGAATAGGGAGTATTCACCGATTTCGAATGATGCGAAACGGTGCCGGCAAAGGAGCGTACAACATTTTCTTGTGTTGATGCAACAGCATCCACCGAAGGATTAACTACTTTGGTAACAACTGGAGCAGTATAAGTGGTGGTTACTGGAGCAACATAACCAGCATTGGCTATGGCCAATAGGGTACAGAAAGCAACGAATTTGAAAGCCATTATTAATCCACAAAAATTGAATTTGTTTGTTGTGTTGATTGTTGTATAATCGTTGATTGACTGATGCCTATACCATGAAACTGTGTAATATTTATATGCGAACATAGAGTGTTGTATGTTGGTCTGTTGAACCTCAATGCCACTGTGTATGTGCTAAGCCGTTTTTCAATTGAATGGTTGAGTAATGTGCGTATCTTAAAATGATGTCTTTAACATAGGATATTGTCATGAACACAACGTGGTTAAAAGTCGAACCCTTCGATATTAAATCAACATTTTGTTATCTTTTTATAATTTTTTTGAAATCACAGCTTTTCTAGCAAATCAATCGAAGTCAATTTGCATGTGAATTTTAACTGATGCCCCAAAAATATGGATTCTTTTTAAATGGGTTTTACAAAAATATGATGCTACATTAAAATATCTCTATGGTCGTGAATATGAAGCTCGTGCTACATCTCAACATGTTGGTTACTCTAGTTTTTGGTGGAGGAGAATGTATTACATCCACCGTATTGTCATAATTTGCATCAATATATATTAATCTAAATTAAAAATCGGTATTTTTTACACAGCCATTTTTTCTATAAAAATTAGTCTCAAGAAGTAAATATTTGTGTGTACTAAATACTTGTTTTCTAAAAACAAAACCAATCCATGCGTCTTAGAAATATTCCAATAGTCTTAGAAATATTTTTATAAAAAAATCAGAGCTGCAAAAATTAGCCTCATATTTGATATGGAATTGTTTCCATACAAAAAATAATATTTCAAAAGTAGGAACTTGTTTTATAGCAATCCCCAGTCTTTAAAGACGATGCATTTTTCTTATAGCTTCCTATTAATTTCCAGGGATGATGGACCTATACAGCCGATAGCTAGACTATATTAAGGTCTACGAAGTTTAGACCACACAGGATTCATCATTTGACTTATATAATGAGTATTTTGTATCAAAGGGTTGATTTTGTGTTGGGAGGATACGGAAGATTTTGCCATCTTTGGAATTAAGTGAACCTACCCCATTCTCGATTTTAAATTTTCAAGATTTCCAATGGACTGTTATATTGTGCTAATCAGAGAAGTACGTGAGCGGAGCAGTATAGTCGGACGGGGCCGACCAAATGATACCCTACACAACTTCCACGAAAATCTAACTTTCTGTGGTCATATATTCTGAGCTTGAAAAATATTTCGCAATATTATTATCTGATCATCACCGAAAATTATAGGTGTTGTCCTTGACCATACCTGGATCCTCATGGAAAATTTCAAAGCGATCTGCGCTTTATTTCCGCCCTCCAGTGTGTTAATGGGTTACTAAATAATATCTGAGTACGTAAGCACCTGGAAATGTAACTCCCACGTTCGAGAACATACGACAATATAATTGGTATCAGTTTTAAGGTAAAGCACTTCATTTGGATATACTATCAACTTCTCGGGTCTATGTCCTTCAGGAGTAAATGTATACGCCATAGAATACAAATTTTGTCATTTTTCACACAAAAGTTAGGGTCCATTGACCCGCTTTGACCCCATTTGACCCGCTAAATATTGACCGATCATTATCAGAACAGGCATGCTCATTCTTTGGCCCGATCGCTTACTCCAAGTCATTTCACGATGTTCGGGCCATTATTTGCGGCCTCCGAAGCGACCAGAAAAAACGACAAAAATTTATTATTTGATCCATTTCATCCCCTAAATATTAACCGAACTTTACCAAAAACAATAGGGGCCTTCATTGGGTAGAACCCATCCTACATGCAAAGTTTCGTGAAGATTGGTCCATAACTGTGGCCTGTATCGTGTTTACAAATTATAATGGACGACACATATGTCTAGATCGACTCAGCTAGTCGAGATATGATGATCGGTATACTCAAAGGTGGGTCATTCGACTCATATAATGAGTATTTTGTATCAAAGGGTTGATCTTGTGTTGGGAGGATCCGGAAGATTTGACCATATTTGGATGTAAGTGAACCTACCCCATTCTCGATTTTAAATTATCAAGATGTTCAATGGGCTGTTATATTGTGCTAATCAGGGACGTACGCAGAGGGGGCCCTGGGGGGCCGGGTAACCCGAAATTAAATTTTTACACAGTAAATTTATGTTTGCAAAAGCGTTTTTTTTTTTAATTTTGATGTGTGCTAAGTTTTGGGAAAAACGATTCAGAGTTAGATATAGCTCCCACATATTTTCGTCCGATTTTAGGAAATGGTGTTTGTTCGATTGACACGAAATGTTGCACAACGTAACAAATTGAGATTAGAATGACGTTATTGCGTTTTGTTGAAATTGGTGCAGATGCAGACATAGCTTCCATATATATATATTTCCATATATATTAAAGTTTTAACAGTGCGGCATACTGAATAGCCTGTAACTAGTTTGCTATAATTCGATTTCTATAAATTTGTCCCATTGTATGCAAATGACTCTAAATTTAAATGAAAAGTTCCTTCGAGGGTACTTGCCATGAAATTATTAGCATAAATATGTACAATATACTCCAAGTGGTGAAGGGTATCATATAGTCGGTCTAGTCCGATTTTACTACTTTCCTTACTGGTTTTAATTTTTGGCCACTTGGTAGAGTATTTAATAATATTAGGCTGTGAACAGTTTGGTTTATCCAAATTACACTGTGCTACAAAATAACAAATTTTTTTTTTCAGGGGTTCTAATGTACCAATTCTATTTAGTTGGAGTCCCTGGATCACGAAAATACCTTTGGTTTTTCTGGGTCACTTCGAAAATTAATTTTATAACGGTAAATATAGAGAAAAACGTGGTTTCATGGATTTTCCATTTGAAACTTGAATAACTTATTTGCTTTATAACGGATTTATATTATTCTTTTTTTCTTTCGAAGAGTACAATTTTTCCTTTCAAACAAGATATATATTTGGTACATCGGTTGAGTATTGGCTGAGTTACAGCGGTTGAAATGTGAAAAAATACGCATAAAATGACAAAATTTATTTTTCTTCGGACTGTACGATGAAATTATGATATCAAGCCATATAAGTTTTATTATATTACGGGGAAGAAAATTAAGTTAGCTTTCGAAAATGATAAAAATCAAAAAAATCGGTTAAAAAATGGATGACTTATACGCATTTTTGTATTGAATCATGCAATTCTCTAAAGGAAATATGGGTCTGTATCGTTTCCTGTTACAAACCGTTATGATTGTGAACCATATTTCCTTTAGAGAATATGCATAGAATCAATAAAAAAATGTTTATAAGTCATCCATTTTTTAACCGATTTTTTTGATTTTTATCATTTTCGAAAGCTAATTTAATTTTCTTCCCCGTAATATAATAAAATTTCTATGGCTTGATATCATAATTTCATAGTACAGTCCGAAGAAAAATAAATTTTGTCATTTTATGCGTATTTTTTCACATTTCAACCGCTGTAACTCAGCCAATCCTCAACCGATTTACCAAATATATTTGTTTAAAGGAAAAATTGTACTCTTCGAAATAAAAAAAGAATAATATAAATCCGTTATAAAGTAAATAAGTTATTCAAGTTTCAAATGGAAAATCCATGAAACCACGTTTTTCTCTATATTTACCGTTATAAAATTAATTTTCGAAGTGACCCAGAAAAATGAAAGGTATTTTCGTGGTCCAGGGACTCCAACTAAACAGAATTGGTACATTAGAACCCCTGAAAAATGTTCGTGTCGCACAGTGTTATTGGAGAGATACTGGAAGGAATTGGACTGATATACCCTATCATTGATCTCGATTTAAGACAATATTTCGATGAGGCATATTTGCGTCGTATCAAGGTGTATACAACTTCATTAACTGTGTAAATTTATAAACATATTTAATCTACGTTACAGGTCATGATGTTTGAATGTGAGTCGTAATAGCAATTCCTCCACATTACCAGACATAATAAAATGTATCAACCCAAATACGATTTTGGGTGTGTATGTGTATCAAATGCAAAATGTGTTATATAAATACCACACAATTTCATATCATTTGTATCAGTCAACAATCGACGATTACAATACAAACATCATTAACTGAACTTAACGAAATAGTTTTCTGTGTGATTAAAAAATACAATGGCTTTCAAATTTGTAACATTCTGCACACTTTTGGCTTTGGCCAATGCTGGTTATGCTCCTCTCGTAACTAAAGTAGTTAATCCTTCGGTTGATGCTGTTGCTTCAACTCAAGAAAATGTTGTACGCTCCTTTGCCGGCACCGTTTCGCATCATTCCAAATCGGTGAATACTCCCTATTCGAGTTTCAACAAAGTGGACACCCGTATCAACAATAATGTTTACACCCCCGCTGTCGCCAAGACAGTTTCCTATGCTGCCCCTGCTGTAACAAAAACAGTTTACTCTCATGAAGCTCCTGCTGTATATGCCCATTCTGCTCCAGCTGCCGTTACTAAAACCGTTTACTCCCATCCTGCTCCAGCTGTATATGCTCATGCTGCTCCAGCTGTATATGCTCAAGCTGCCCCAGCTGTCTACGCTCATGCTGCCCCAGCTGTAGCTAAAACTGTAACTTATGCTGCTCCTGCAGGTACCACCACTTACAATCATGGACCTTCGGCCACCACCTACACTCACAATGCTCCCGGTGTAAGCAGCTATGGTACCAGCCAAACTGTCCACTATTCACCCGCTGAAATGGTCTCTCACATGAGCTTTGATGGTTTCGGTACTCATTGGGGATTCTAAACAATTTATAAATAGTAGAACTTGTTATTGATTGTTGAGATTATACTGTTAATTTTTATTGGTCTAATAAATAATATAAAAATTATAACAATATTGTAATTGGGTTTTAATATTCCATTTATAAATATATATATATATATTTGGTATGAAAACAGTATAAGCAGTTTAATATTCCATTTACAAAAAAATTGATTGGAGGTCGTTTATCACCTGAATCCCCCAAATGTCAAACTTTATTTTTGTCTGATTTTCAGGTCGCTCCAGATGCCACAATTATGGCCAAAACCTCGCGAATTTTTACATGGAGAAGGGTATTGGGCCAAAGAATAAGCATGCCTGTTTTGATAGAGATCGGTCAATATTTAGCGGGTCAAATGGACCCTGACTTCTGTGTGAAAAATTACCAACTTTGTATTCTATTGCTTATATATTTACCCCTGAAGGATATGTGACCCAATAATTTGATAGTACATCCAAGAGGAGTGGTTGACTTTTAAATTGATACCAATTATATTGTCGTACGTACTCAGATGTGGGAGTTAACCTTAAATATTTTCAGGTGCTTACGTACTGAGATTTTATTTAGTAACCCATTACCACACTAGAGGGCGGAAATATAACAGTGATCGCTTTGAAGTGTTCCGTGATGTTTCAGTTATGGTCAAGGACAACGCCTATAATTTTGATGATCAGATACTAATTTTGGGATGAAGTGGACCGATAACTTATCTTTTTTTCGAGTCGATCAAACATCACAACACAATTCACGGTGAAGGGAATCTTAACAAATAATTAGAAGGGCTGTACTGAATATAAGTAATATTCGGAATATATCGAGCCATATTCGCCAAGAAAACGTAACCCTCAATTTTAAATTTTACAGGAGAAGGTTTTGTTTTAATAAATTCAGATTTAATAAAGCTATTATTTTGAAATATAGAACTATAGTTTTGTTACAAACTAGTTTTGTTTTAAACTATAATTCCTTATTTCAAAATAATAGCTTTATTAAATCTGAATTTATTAAAACAAAACCTTCTCCTGTAAAATTTCAAATTGAGGGTTACGTTTTTTTTTTTGGCGAATATGGCTCGATATGTCAGTTTAAAGAATAGCTGCTGTTGACTGTTGTTGTCGGACAAGAGTGTGCAAATATCACGAATTATTGGTCAGGCTTGGAATAAACTTCAGCAGAAAGTTTGAGTTCTGTGACAGTTGTGTAGGGTATCGTATGGTCGTCCCCGCCCGACTGTACTGCTCCGCTCACTCGTTGTACAATGGAAACATTAGAAATGCGTGCTGTCAATAAATATTTACATAAAAAAGGTTTATCGGCATAAGAAATTCTTAATGATATGGTGAATGTGTTAGGTGAAAGTGCTCCTTCATATGCAGCAGTAAAAACTTAGGTTGCTAAATTTAAACGTGGACGTCCAAAAACAGCAACGACAACATAAATTGTAGCCAAAGTGCATGATATGCTAATAAATGATCGACGAATAAAAGTGCGTGAAATTTTTAATATCATGGGCTTCTCAAATGATCGAGTCCATTTATTTTTGCATGAAGACCTACAGATGAAAAAGCTTTCTGCAAGATGGGTGCCGTGAACATTTCTCAAGCTTGTTTGAATAGTTTTATGCCAAATAAAATGGATTTTAAGCGCCGTTTCATAACTGTTCAGCTCCCTGTGAGTTTTACTTGTTTCCAAATCTAACAAAAATCTTTACTGGCAAGCGTTTTACCTCAAATGAAGATGCAATTACAGTTGTAAAACAATATTTTGAAGACAATTGCTAGAAAAGCGTTGAACTAAGTGTATTGAAGTTTTAGGAGATAATAATGCAAAATTAAAATATTAAAATATAATATTAAAATATATTTAAAAACTATCTATTCTCTTTCATTGATAGGCTAATAAGTTTCCGAACCGTCCTCGTGGAGATAATTCGGTTGATACACGTGTCTAAAATAATTTTATTTGAGATCTAAATTTCTCAAAAAAATCAAAATTTGGAAGGTTCCGATAAATGGGAGCTAATGGCGGTGCATATAAAACATAGTTGTGTCATTTAAAAATAACCATAATTATACCCTACACAACTATGTTGTCAGGGTATTATAGCTTTGTGCAGCCCCAAAAGTTTGTAACGCCGCGAAATATTGGTCCTAGACCCACCTTTAAATATACCGATCATATCTCCGTCTGTCCATTATAATTTGTAAACACGATACAGGCCACAGTTATGGACCAACCTTCACGAAATTCTGCATGTAGAATGGGTTCTGGCCAATGAAGACCCCTATTGTTTTTGGAAAAGATCGGCTAATATTTAGGGGATGAAATGGACCAAATACTAATTTTTTTCGGTTTTTCTTGTGAAATTTCGCATGGAGAAGGGGGACGGGCCAAAGAATAAGCATGCCTGTTTTGATAAAGATCGGTCAATATTTAGCGGGTCAAATGGACCCTGACTTTTGTGTGAAAAAAGACAAAATTTGTATTCTATAGCGTATATATTTACCTTTGAAGGACAAAGACCCGAGAAGTTGATATTATATCCAAGAGGAGTGGTTGACCTTTAAATGAATACCAATTATATTGTTGTATGTGCTCGGATTTGAGAGTTACACCTAAATATTTACAGGTATCTCCGTATTCGTATATTATTTAGTAACCCATTATCACTCTAGAGAGCGCTGATCGCTTTGAAATGTTCCATGAGATTCCAGTTATGGTCAAGGACAACGCCTATAATTTTCGGAGATGATCAGATAATAATTTTGGAATGAAGTGGACCGAAAACTTAATTTTTTGTGTTATTTTCGAGTCCATCTATAGACCACAAAAGGAAGCCGAACAACACAACCCACGGTGAAGGGAATCCGGACAATAGCTGTACTGAATACTCGTAATATTCGGAAAATATGTCAGTGTGAGGAAGATGAGCTGTTTACCTCTAATCGGGCAAGAGGCTGCAGAAAATTTCAGTTCCGTGGTAGTTGTGTAGGGTATCGTATGGTCGGCCCGGTCCGACTATACTGCTCCGCTCACTGGTTACCATTACAAATTTGCATTATTATACCCTTCACCACACTGTGGTACAGGGTATTATGTCTTAATGCATATGTTTGTAACAGGCAAAAGAAAACGAGATAGACACATGGTTCCTTTTGAGAATATGCATAGAATCACTTTCTAAGTCGATTTATGCATGTCCGTCTGTCTGTCTGTCCATGTTAAATTGTAAACAAAGTACAGGTCGCAGTTAATGATCCGAATTAGATGAAATTTGGCATAGGTCATCCTATTGAAATTGGGAAAAATCGGTTCAGATTTAGATATAGCTCCCATATATATATATTTAACCGATTTAATGTAAACGGTCCCTATATAACTTTCGATTTGCACGAAATTTGGTACAGCCTAATCATTTAGGTCTAGAATGATGTTCGATTCCATGTAAATTGTGCCCAAAGTCCCTATATATCTTTCGATTTGCACGAAATTTGGCATAACGTACTGAATTAAGCCTAGAGTGATGTCTGCCAAGTTTCGAGAAAACCGGTCCTGATTTAGATATAGCTCTCATATATAGTTTCGTCCGATTTCATGTAAATGGTGCCCCAAAGTCCCTACATATCTTTCGATTAGCACGAAATTTGGTACAGCCTAATCATTTAGGTCTGGAATGATGTGTGCCAAGTTTCGAGAAAATCGATCCAGATTTAGATATAGCTCCCATATATAGTTTCGTCCGATTTCATGTAAATGGTGCCCCAAAGTCCCTATATATCTTTCGATTTGCAATTTGGCATAACGCACTAAATTAAGTCTAGAATGATATGTGCAAAGTTTCGTGAAAATCGGTTCAGATTTAGATATAGCTCCCATATATAGCTTCGCCCGATTTTAAGTAAATAGTCCACTAAAGTCCCTGATATATCTCCCATATATATCTTCGTCCGATTTAAGGTAAATAGTCCACTAAAGTCCTTGGAAATCTTTTGACTTGCACGAAATTTGGCACAGCGTAATGAATAAGGTCTAGAATGATGTTTGCCAAGTTTCGTGAAAATCGGTGCAGATTTAGATATAGCTCCCATATATATATCTTCGCCCGATTTAAGGTAAGTAGTCCACTAAAGTCCCTGAAAATCTTTTGATGTACACGAAATTTTTCACAGAGTTATGAATAACATCGAGAATGATATCTGCCAAGTTTCGTAAAAATCGGCTCAGATTTAGATACAGCTCCCATATGTATTTTCATCCGATTTAAGGTAATTGGTGCACCAAAGACCCTATATATCCTTCGATTTGCACGAATTTTGGTATAGGGACTGAATTAAGGCTAGAATGATGTTGCTAAGCTTCGGTTCAGATATAGATTTATAACAAAACGCGTCGTCTGTTAGGATACATATGTAAAATATGCCCAAAGTGGTGAAGGGTATTATATAGTCGGCCCAGTCCGACTTTACTACTTTCCTTACTGTTTTTCTTTGCCAAATGTTTTTTTCAATAAACTTATTTCTATTCATGCGAAAAAGAAGATAACGTAGATGGGTATAAATGTGAATATTTATGATAATAATTTAGACATATTTTGAAGGTGAAATATATATCCAAATGAAAAGAAAAACGAAAACAAATTCTTGCCACACCACCAAAATATCTTCCGACTTGCAAGAATATTTTCATTTACTTATTTTCTTTTGTGTCCCATCCAAAAACAAAAATGATGATGAATATTTATTAGAATGTAAAAGAAAAAGTGAAAAATAACAATCGCGAATGAAAAAGTTTGTACAAAAAGTTTTCAAACTACTGCCAAAATATAAAGTGAAATGTTGTTTATTTTCCCTACGAAGAACAAAAACGTATAGTATAACTTAATAAAAAAATCTTTTTTTTCTTGTCTTGACTTCCTGTCATTGATAATAATAAGTACTGGGTGGTCTTGTTATTGTTTTTCACTGAGCTCATATTTTTATTT